GTTCAGATATTCCGGACTTCGTTGGAACGAATGTTTGTTCTCAAAGATAACTCGGAGATTAGGAAATTCGACCTGTTTCCGTAACTCTGATCGCAATTACGTTGCAAGCCGGCACGATAGAACCGCGCGGACCCAGAGACGAGAGAATTTCATTGGATCTATTCTTTCTTTCCCCGTGAAATATTTTCCACTTAATCTTGATTTCGAATTTAAAACATTCGTCGTTTACCATGTTAACAATTATTATTCAAAGTTATTCTTTATGAATAGGATTTCATAAGACACTCTAAAAATACAGGGGATTACTTTAAATCGCAAAATTTGTTTAATCCGCAAAATACGGGTTGCAAGCGAATTATTCTCAACAAGTTATTGTCGAGCCTTGCCATTTGCACAATATCCGCGCTCGCAGACAGCATAATATTCCCGGCCATGATAGCGATCCACCCCTTCGAGGCGGTGAAACCAGCAGAAGGCAACGCGGGGGGTACGTACGGGTCGGCTCGGCTTGGCTCGTTAAAAAGTCCGTTGGACCACTCGTAACGGGCGGCCATGGGAACGAAGAGTGAGGTGAACGAGGAAGAGAAGAATGCACCGAGCCGAGCTGCACTTACTTACTTACGCGACGTTGCACCCCTTTCCCCCTTCCCTTTGACTTTTCTTTCCGCGTGCACCTCGCCCCCGCACGAAGGGATGAAATCGTTAGCCGGAGTAATACACGCACCGGACCGGGACGCTTCGATGCATTCCCTTTGAATCACTCCCCATAATTCAGTCGCGACGGTACCGGTGAAATGACTTTCCTTTCCACCTTCGCCTTCATCGGAACCGTTTTGCGCTTAATATTATTTCTGAAATATTCATACGAACAAGGCGTGTCTATGGTTACCGGCCTTTGCCTTCTACTTTCCACCGATATCACGCTCTTAAGGGTCGCGTTGAATGCCGCATATTATGATGGACGATTTACGAGAGTTCAATGAGAACAAACGTCGAATATTTATTCTTATGCTTGAATAAATACAAAAAGAGCTTTTCGTTTGCTCCACCATTGGAAACGCTTTGCGATCGACGTTATTTATTCCTTGCATATTCATGGGAGAAGGAGGCAAGTCCATAGTTTTTGCTTTGGTCTTCTGGAGTCTCTCAGATTTCGCACTTTTAAAGAGTATTCTGAATATTGATGGATTTGTTAAAAAACAACTTCAACCGAAAATTATTTATTTTTGAAATATTAAATGTTATTAAAGTTTGGCTTTTGTAAAAAAAATTATATTTGCAAAAAATATAAAAACTTCAATCATATTCGAGAATATTCGATATAGTAAATGTGAATATAGTATATGTGATACAATTTTTTCACCGCAATCAATTCTTCCCTCGATATCCGAACTGCCTTAAAAAAGTAATAAGTTTCCATCTTTCAATGACTGGCTACAAGAAGTTATAATCGTTTTGAAAAATTTGCATGGTGGTATTCTTAAGTTCCAATCATTGCGTGACAGTACTTTCTTTACACAGTCGTGGCATCTTATCTGAGCACAAAATGCTTTGAATCTGAATTATGCGAATGTAATAGGTATACGTGGAATTCTGCATAGCATAAGAAAATGGTTACATATTTCTCCCATGTATTCAATAGCTCCTGACAAAAATTTTAAAGCCACGTCCAAGCGTATAAGCAAAACCGTACATTGAAATAGTAGACGGGATTAAAAATTTATGCGCATCAAAGGATTCAAATAGCGCGCGTTTGAACATTAAAATTATTCCTCGTTCGCTGATTAAATCAATTCAGTTACTACATTAAACAAAAACAGAGATTTCAGATCTAGCTAAGTAGATGTACCTAAATTCTCGAAATACAACAGCTCATGTGATTCACAGCAACGGTGAATAACTAAAAAATACACTGAAGTTAAAATTCACGGAGCTCAAAATTAGGGGTGTAAATATATTATCCCCTTCTTACCACAATAAAACAATTTAACTCTATATAGGACAAAAAACTGTTTAACTTTTTATCACGTAATTATGCTAATTTAATACCGAACACGTTCATTCTCCTCGAATTTCATTAATTCTCGAAATTTTAACAAAATTCATTGAAGCATTAGAAAACCTGGTATACGACTTAAGAATTGCACAGTATTAAAATATTTACGTAACACCGGTCTTAAATTGAAATGTATAGAATCACAACAATTAGCAGAGGAAAAAGGAGAGCTATCAGGAGGTGGTTCCTCTTGAGGGTCTTCAGGACAGGCCTGGTTACCGCGCGATATTTTTTTTTTTCTATGGACCACCGAAGCTGGTTTCGCAGAAAATCCACGAGTGTGACGAGCCTCCCTGGGAGAGGAAGAGTGCCTCGGAGGGGCGGCGCGGGTGTTGCCAACAGTGCAACGAATGGAGATCGATTCTGAGTCTGGGTCAGGTGAGGGCGTTCACCCCCCGGTGCAGCCCGGGAGACACGGAATCCAGGGTCGTAGCTAGGGTATCACGGGAGAAGGGTACTGACGCTGAGTTGAGGCCGGAAGAGAGTAGGGGGTGGCGGGTTGCACGGGACACTCCCTTCTGGCCGAGTACAACGTACGCTTCCCTGTCCGAAATCGTAGTGAACCGCGTCACGATCCACCTCGTGGCTGGGACCGCACGGTGTGGCTGTTTTGCGAGCCAGAACTTACGCGATCCACTAAGGGAGATGATTCGTGTCGCGACTCCATCGCAGGGTGTCATCCCAACGAATTTTCCGGTCGATTAAAGGTGTTTGGACTAAAGAGGATCGGTATTGGTGATCGGATGACATTCGTGGCCACTTAAGAACCATTTAAAATCTTATGAGAGCGCCCAAAACTGGAAACTGAATTATATTTTCTCAAAGAACAGTCACCTCTTCCTGATTCCCTATTTTTGAATGTTTGCAATTCCTGCTATTAACTTTATAAAACTTTTGTACAAACACACTAATGGCTCATATCTACGCAATGAGTTACGTAATACCAAACCAGCGTTCGAAATATGAAATCCTTTATGAAACTATGGATGCTAGTTATTTTGTAGGAATAATTTCTATTATACTACCTACAATCTTTTCATTTAAATGTATCCTTTCTTATAATTGAGAATTTGATTATTGATACACCATTTTCTGTTGTATCAAATATGCTAATACTTGATGCTAGTGATCTGTAATTTGTCATGGCCTAGAATAGTGAGCAGGGAGCTGGTCAACAGCATTGGATATTCCTTTCGTCAAAATAGGGAACATAATACCGAAATGGAGGTTCATTGTTTGCTGCGTCTCATTATTCTTTGTCTTTGTCCGTCTCGTCGAGAGCTTCGTGCTCGATCGTCCGTTCTGAGAAGGTACGAAATACGATATTGAAGTCCATCGAATTGCTTCTCGTCGGTTCTGAGATAGCAAAGCTTCTCTCTCGTTTACGCGATGGTAAAAATGCGAAGAGGCTGACTGATTTGTAGGAAAATATGCAATAATATACATAAACTAGGAGCAATAATACATCTAAACTGTGCCTATTGCATGTTATGTTCATTAAAAAAATGTGTGTAATAACGATATATTTTTCAATCCGTTGGAAGTAACTTCACGAGTTTTGTATCTTAACTGTTAAGTAAAGTGTGCTCCGTTATTTAAATTTTATTATCTTTAATTTCAAAGGGACTTATTTACATTTATGTGATACATTAATCAACAATTGTAGCAAGTTGTTACGACTGATATTTTTTCATACTCACGACATCCATTGGTATCCGAATAGGGAAAAATGTCCTTGGTACCTTCCGCTTTAACCTGACTATGTACTAGGAGCGACTCCCAGGACGAGGTGAACGATCGACAGGGTGGTGGTACGTGACCTTTTGCTCGAAGGATAACGGCAGGGGTGAAGCGGGGACTTTGCCTCTCGGTAACGGGGGTGAATGCACGTCCGACCCATCTACTCCCACCCCGTCCGTTCTGCGAGCACCGAACTATTATACAAGCTCCCGGGGTCGGTTAATTAATAATCTTCCTGGATTATTATTCGTTCAATGAAATATTAAGGTGATAAAGTCGATTTGCGCATAGACAACTTTGATTTTCGCTGTAGCCTCCCTTACGTTTCGTCGTCGCTTCTCATTCGTGGCTTATACCTATGCAACCCCGGAGCAGCGTACCGAGCACGCAGAATCGATCGGCTTTTTCATCTCGCTCCCCGTGCGCTGCATCCGAGCTACTGTTTAAACGACTGTTTAATCCTGAAATTTGTTTGCTCCGTATTCTTTCCTCGCGAGATGAATTTTGATCAAGAAATGGAAACGTACGATAATAGAGTCTGAGAGAAAATGGGTATTTCACATTTCAAAATAAATGGAAATGCATTGGTTTATTTGCGGGCACGTTGTTGATGCTTCCTACGACCACCGAGAAAGTAGTAATAGAACGCGTGTATAAAAGAAATGAACAGAATTTAAATTATTATCAAGAATTCTATTATTTATAAATAAGATGTCATGTGGATAGCAAAGTATAATATCAAAGTAGTTAAAGGGGTAGACTGCTGGGCTCTGTATATGCGCGATGAGAAAGAGCGTCAATGTTACGCAACAAATTGTTACAATGTGAAGCAAAGTCCTAGTTATTATACCTTGGAATTTAAATACTTTTATGCCAAAGAGAGGATGTTTTGAATGAAATGAAAACCAGAGCGTCCTAGATTTAAGTTTTGCCTTTCCGAAAAAAGTATTTCCGACCCGAAAATCCGTATATTTTGCCAGGTTCTCGGTAAAACAGAATAAAAAACGTCAACGAAACGTTAAAAATTTACAAATGTTAGGAATGATTACCCTAGTCCTAAAAACGAAAACGTGGAACTAAACATCATTTACCAATGATCTCTGCAAGTGACCGTCTTATAAAGTTAAATTACACGTAGTAATTAGTAACTATTTCATTTGTTGGTAACATTAATTTTCATCTAATCTGAATAGAGTAGTAATAATAATATTTTACGTCAGTAATTAGCATTTAAGCCTAGCCTGTTACATTACAATTCTTAAAGATTTTATTCGTATTTCGAGACGCTATGACCATCTAGCGTTGAAATGATGGAACTCATTAAGAAGATATCTTTAGGTAACTGTGCTAAATTTATACTTACAATAAGGACACATGCGGACTTTTATGCGGTTTTTTGTTTATAAAATAAGCTTGTCAGTGCTACTTGCACAATTTTGTAAATGTCTTAAGTCTTTGAGTGACGACTGATTCTTCGGTGGTTAATCGCACCGAGGAAGCCGGTAAATCATCGGTCTCGGTACAATAACTTCTATACCCGTTGCTAGTAAATGCTACAATCACGTGGCGTACCAGCTACGATGTTATCTTTGATCTTGTCATACAAGTCTTATAGATAATTGCCGGTTCAAGAGCATAATTAATAAGTATTTGTCTGTTTTTAACTATAAAAGTAATAAATATACTAATGTATACATAACCTCTTTTGTTATTATTGTTTATTGAAATTCTTTAAAACAAACTAATAACATTTTATCCGAATTTTACGTCAGTTTGTAGTTCGAATTGAACAAGTATAATTTAATACAAATCGAAGTAATCAAGCTACATCTCTTTTTTTTTAATTTTAGCTATTTTCTTACAAAATGTAATATTTTTCTGTTTAAATCTATGTAATTTCTTTTCATCAGGTAACTGGTGGATCTAGCGGTATAGGAAAATGTGTTGCAATTATAGCTGCCAAATATGGTGCACATGTGACTATAATTGCGAGGGATATAAAAAAGTTAGAGATTGCAAGAAATGAGATAATTCATGCTTGTAAAAATAAAGATGTTCAGAAGATAGAATACCTATCCTTGGACATTGGTGAAGATTACAATGCAGTTGAAAAAGCTTTAAGTGATTTAGAAAGGACTATGGGTCCGATATATATGTTGGTTAATTGTGCCGGGATGGCGATTTGTGGTAAAATTGAAGATACCTCAGCGACAGACTTGAAAAGAATGATTAGTATTAATTTCTTGGGTTCCTATTACTGTACAAAAGCTGTTGTCCAAAAAATGAAAGCTTCTCAAGAAGGAATTATTGTCCTTACTTCTTCTCAAGCTGGGCTGTTAGGTATGTAATACATTTATGTGCATTTATATCTATTTGCATTACAATTAATTTTTAATATTTTTCAGGTATATTTGGTTATTCAGCATACTGTAGTACAAAATTCGCGCTTCGAGGCTTGGCAGAAAGTTTGTCTATGGAAGTTAGAGCATACAATATTTCTGTCACTCTTTGTCTACCTCCAGACACAGATACTCCAGGCTTTGCCACTGAAGAATTGTCCAAACCTCTTGAAACAAAACTCATATCAAAGACTAGTTCTCTTGTCAGACCTGAAGTAGTGGCAAATAAACTATTTCAGGATGCATTGGTTAGTAACATCATAATAGTATATCTTTCATTAAAACATGATACATAACGAAAGATTATTTTTTAGGCTGGAAAATTTTTCTCGACCGTTGGTTTGGAAGGATTCCTGCTGACTGTCGTATGTGCTGGGATGTCACCGTTCAACTCGATATTCGAAGTACTTGCGCAGTCGATGCTAATGGGCATTTTTCGTCTTATAAACGCCTGCTGTCTCGTACATTTCCAAAGAATAATTCAAACATGTATGAAGACGCGTGATAAAAATAAAAAGTCAGAATAAATATTTTAATCTATTAATATAAAACACTTTGTACAATATAAAAAATATTCTGCGTTTGTATAAAATTTTCCGACGTACGCATAATAAACATATAAGTCCAAAAATTTTTATGCAGTATTTTCAATTGTCGGTTATAGGCGTAAAAGACATTGAAATATAAAAATGTAGAAAAGGGAGTGAAGTGAAAGGAACATTGTACTCGTTAACGATTTGGCTTAATTTTATTTAGTATCCCGTAAGTTCATAGTATAATGTTCTTCATAAGCTTTATGGTTCTTACACACATAGAACGGGACAGTTGTTTTCGTCCCTGTTTTGCCACGATACTTTGAAAGAACAGAAACGTTGACGCTTTGTGTGTAATGTGTATGTCCGATGCGTACGATGTCCCAGATATTGATAACGCTTTTTAGTCAACATGTGCAGGAAGCATTAAAAATGATCAGAGTACATAGGTCCTGAACATCTTTAAAGATCCAGTTTCAGTGGCGACCTTTATAGGACACCGTCCGCTAGTTGAAACCGAGTTTGAACGTATGCGAAGAAGTGGCAGATAATGAAGATGTGTTTCTCGAAATTGTAAATCGGTAATGATCGGTTTAACATTGATTTATTATCTTTCTCTCCCTCTCTTTCAGCTTCGATCACGTTCTCTCTTCCTCTTTCACGCACACGTACAGGTAATTCACGTGTTCCTATTAATACTCCTGCTCGCAGGTTCCTTCTCTCCCACGTTCACCCACGCAATCATTCTTCCTCGACATCATCTCGCAGATTCGTTGTAAAGTCTATTCTCGGTTTACCCTAAAGCACGCAAAGTGTACACTTGGGAATCTGCGAGACGAGGCTTAATTCGAGGGACATATTGTTTTTTTTTTTAATCAAGCTTTTTCTTCATTTTATTTTTTTATTTACGTTAACTTTAAAATCGATGTTCGCTTATTCGGGCGCTCGACAAACGCTTTTCTTTCCTCCGTTTTCTCTCGGTTATTTCTCGAACCTCTGACCGCTTTCCTTTTTTTCGTAATCGATTGTACGCTGCGTGTGTGATTTACAAATTGTCATCAGCTTCGTCGAACGTTCGAACCGGCAAACGGCACGCGTTAACGATTATTTAGGTAATTAATTAGACCCATTGCTACGTGTGATCTGTCGCGCATCGGAAACGTAACTGTCGTTTTATATGAAAGGTTTTTAGCTAAAAATTGAACGTGTTTGCGATAGATCTAATGATCTGTCACGATCGAGATTTTCAATCCATGAACCCGTTTTATGAACTATCTTTTCACCAAACGCATGTCATTTTATTTCTTTGCAAGTATCTCTTCTCAAAGGCTTCTTAGTTATCTTTTTAAACGAACGGAAACCGCAAACATGACAAAACAGTTTCAACGGCTTCCTGTTTATTTGTCATACAATGAGGAAAGCGCGACCAGTTTTATAATTAATATCGCTGATAACGAGGGATTGATGAGATATCTTCTCCGTCCCGAGGGTTTCGATCCACGACCTTTCCTTATTTTTTCTAACCCTCTACAGCTAAAATTATTTCCTACCCCATTTAAGTGCTACCTATGACTATACAGGGTGTCCCAGGATGCAACTTTCCTCGGAGAGTGTAAAAGAAGTGCAAAAGTTCTTTTTTCACAATTTCTTCCAAAGTTGAAGATGATGCGATATAGCATCGACTGCGAGTGATCGTTGTACGCAGTAGTTCACCTTTCTCGTTAATAACTTTGTTAATAACGATTGGAAGAATAAATGGAAGAGGAACTTTTGACTGAGAATTTCATCTTCTTTCACGCCTACAGATGAAAATCGTGCACTCTGGAACTCCTCGTACATAACTACTTACGAAAATACGATGGAATGGAAAGTGGGGATAAATAATAGATCCTAATATTAATAAACTGGAATTCGATTGGAAATGAAACAGAAATTCAGTTAAATTTAAATTTTCCTAAACTACTGGCTTTCCGCTTTTCAACAATTATCTATCTACGCCTGCCACCCCAATATTGTCTCAAATGAGTAACAAGCGGTAGAGGGTTAAAATCACAATAATTACACATGTACACTCTTCACGGAACCAATTACCCATTCAGTATACAATCTTTTCTGATACAAATCACTTCCTCGCGAAATCGTTTTACCGGTAATCCAGTTTCTAGCACAAATTTTATGAACAGCATTATTCCTAATAATCGAATCGCACTCCGTTTCGTGAAACTGATTCCCGGTCCGTTAATTCCGAATTCCTACCGATGGAATCGCATCGTTACTTATTCGCTCGCATTACCTACTATCGAGAAAAACTAACTTCGAATATCTACGCGTAAGAGCACATCGACGAACTGTCAGGACGGTCAATCATCACACGAAAAAAGGATCTTTCGTTACTCGCGTACCGCGACTCTCGGGAACGGGTACGTGGTTGATCGCTGGGACGAATACGACGCGTATAGGTCACTACTTACGAACGCTCAAGAATAGATAAACTGAGGGTGAAACACTTTTTACAATTTGGTTTGGCATACTTAATTAGTGTTCGTAATCCTTGAGTAGGTATAAACTCATGTCAGGATCGAATAATTTTAGATCTTAAACAGATTTAGATTATTTTTCAAATGACACAAGATATACAAATTAGGAAAAGATAAGGTGAAAAGTTTTAATAATAAAACTACCGGTTTAAATATCTATAATTTTCATTAATTTTAAAAAATATAAAAAAAATCATACTCGAGAAATGTTTCCTTACGTGACATTTTTATCAATTTGCGTCTTCAGTTAAAGAATTGTGACAGCAAAGAATAGCAGTAGCTTACTATTCTTTACACACGTCATTATTATTAAAATACGTACAACAAATTTTGATAAAATGAAATTCGAATAAATTACAAAGTTGAGAATATTTAACAATAAATCGTTTGAAGATTACCAAATGTAAATCCTAAAAGTCACTATCCGTCCCGCGAAATATCAATAAAAACCGAGAATTACATACATAAGTACGTTATTTAAGCCTGCAAAGGCGGGCGTCTTAAGAACAGAAAAATCCGCGACACTTAACAGCTACTACAGACAATGGTACAAAAATTCAATGCTGTCTACAACGTTAGTATACCTTAGACGACGTTTTTTTTCTTACTTAATTTTCACCATCATCATCATCATTATAATCACCAACGCTGTCGTCACCACCGTATCGCATAATTATCTTTTCTCATTTCCTCTTTGTTATCTCTGTTAGACTAAAGGGACGACGAGGACGAGCGCAAAAGTGACAACTTCCTTCTTCCACCTAGCGAGGGGAGGCCTCCGGTTGTTGTATGAAACGGGCCGAGCTTTAATTGTGGCCTCAAGGTTGAACCCCTATCTTCAGCCCTTCTTCGTTATCTTGGCCTCGCCAGGCGCGGGAAGAAGAAAGGGAAGAAACGGTACAAGAATGATTGTCCCCAGTCGTCCCTTTTTATTTTTTTATCTTAAAGTGCGTCATTCGACCAACGCCTTAATACGTCAGTCCAACGAACAACTCCTTTTTTCCTCTCTTGGCGTGTGTGTGCGCAACTTTTTAAGACCTTCTTTCACTTACACTTTCATCTCTTCTTTTTCTCCCGTTTCTGTCTGTTTTCTATCAGTCGCGCATATACACACACACATACACACACACATACACGCAAACACATACACATACTCTCTCTTTTTCTTCCAAATGTCGTTCGTTTCTTCTTTTCCCTGTGTATTATCATACATACACACAAAGTCACCGTTCGTCGCGAGAAATTTCATGTACTTACGTCCACACACCTGGTTATTATATCAGACAATATAATCCTTCATTTCATATCCGTTACTTCTTACGCTAAGCGTTTAATTAGTGTTACATCTAGTGTCGCGTGTGGCCGGCCCGTGCTATCCAGGAACGCGCTGCACGCAACTGCGCTCCTTTTTGTTATCTCGGCTCACCGACGCGCTAAGAAAAAGCACACGCCTCGGTGAAATCCACACTGTTTCTTCTTGTATTCTCACTGTCATTCATCGACTTTTATTCCGTCCATCCATTTCGATTCCGTTCTTTCACGTTTACGTTCGTTCTTGCGATCCTCCGTCATAGTGAGAACCTCCCAAACGTTTCATTGAATTTAAGAAGAATGTGAATAGAAATATGTTACTGAAGTAAATCATAGTTTAGCGGATAACTGATTAAAAATCTAATCAAATTAGAAGCGTTTACTGGTTTCACGTATAATTAATAAAGGATTAAACAATTCAAGGGACATATAATTTTCTTCTATTTCTCATAACCCTGTTGTTGCCTCGAAACACAACCTCGAGCCGGTTAGCACGGGCGGCCAGACCCATTCGAAACGCGTTTACGATCCGAAAAATTACACAGTAATGTTATTTTTATTTTTTTTCATATTTGTTTCTTTTAGTGTAACACATACGGCATGTCGTTAATTAACGTTACGTTATTTATGTACTATGTATTTACAATCACATGAATCGTAGATATTCTAACGTATAGTTCGTCTCGTTTGACTGATCTCCTTTCCTTTTCTCCATTCACGATTTCATTATTTTCTTCTTGTCACCACTCACCTTAACCGGTCTCAGTTTCACTTTCTCCATAATTATTACCCCTGCATACCGCGTACAGCCCTTAGTTTTACAACCTCGTCGTTTCTACCCTCTCGTTGATCGTTTCTTTTGTTATCATTTGACGCCGCTCTTTACCGAGCTGAAACTTGTTCAATATTTTAACATTGTTGTGCAACGTATTCGCGCGCGTACACAAATATACATATACATATATATATATATATCTGTTCGTTTATACATATATAATATAAAAAACAGTATTTTCTAATACGTGCGAGAGAAAAAGAAATATGAGGAGCGCCACAGACGAATCGAACGTCAGGAACGGATTAGGTTCGAATCGATTGCAATCATCTGTCGTTTCTTAAATAAATTTGTGCTGCTCTTTCAGTAGATCGTAGATACACAAAATCAAACTTTTTTAACGTATTTGGAGAATAACATAAAATATATGCTTTTAAGACTTAGAAAATATAATAATGTGCAATTTACTTAAAATATCTTTTATATGGTCGAGTTTCATATAATCGCACAAGTATTTATTATCATAATGGTCAATATTCATGAAAGACGACACAGTTTATTGTATTTTTTAATTAACTACGTCAATCGACAATGGTTTACTTTTTTCATGGACTCATGAAGTTCGAATTTATTAAAATGACGTTCCTGATGTTAGCGAACTTCTTTGTTAAATCGTCTGCAGATTATTTAATAGTAAATACTAGTTTCATGCTTTTTATATGACCCGTTCCGTTAGAAGGCATGATACGCATGCATGGACATGTAACATGTTTTTTTTTTTAAATTGGCTCGTGTTTATACTCAATGCGTTTTAATTACCAAAATCGAACACTATGGATCGTCTCGAGCAATCGGTACGTTTTTTTTATATGTCCTTTATATATTTTATAACGAATGCGATTATTAACAGACAGAAATTAATCACGTAGAACGTATTTGGAAGTAGAATACGTTTGAATAATACATGTACATGTATAGGCAGTGACATTGTATATATGGCAGAATTGATTAATTTTAGATGACGAAGTTGCAGTTATCTTAACGCGAGTTTAGATTTGAGATCGTACAAAAATATACAGGAACTGTAATAAAATGGTATACGCGATAATAGTCAATCTCGTTGTACGATATATAAATATGATTTTGTGACAAAAATGATCTTCACCTCTTTCAATAATAAACTAGTAATATTATACATTCACACACATACACGCAAACACATACACATACTCTCTCTTTTTCTTCCAAATGTCGTTCGTTTCTTCTTTTCCCTGTGTATTATCATACATACACACAAAGTCACCGTTCGTCGCGAGAAATTTCATGTACTTACGTCCACACACCTGGTTATTATATCAGACAATATAATCCTTCATTTCATATCCGTTACTTCTTACGCTAAGCGTTTAATTAGTGTTACATCTAGTGTCGCGTGTGGCCGGCCCGTGCTATCCAGGAACGCGCTGCACGCAACTGCGCTCCTTTTTGTTATCTCGGCTCACCGACGCGCTAAGAAAAAGCACACGCCTCGGTGAAATCCACACTGTTTCTTCTTGTATTCTCACTGTCATTCATCGACTTTTATTCCGTCCATCCATTTCGATTCCGTTCTTTCACGTTTACGTTCGTTCTTGCGATCCTCCGTCATAGTGAGAACCTCCCAAACGTTTCATTGAATTTAAGAAGAATGTGAATAGAAATATGTTACTGAAGTAAATCATAGTTTAGCGGATAACTGATTAAAAATCTAATCAAATTAGAAGCGTTTACTGGTTTCACGTATAATTAATAAAGGATTAAACAATTCAAGGGACATATAATTTTCTTCTATTTCTCATAACCCTGTTGTTGCCTCGAAACACAACCTCGAGCCGGTTAGCACGGGCGGCCAGACCCATTCGAAACGCGTTTACGATCCGAAAAATTACACAGTAATGTTATTTTTATTTTTTTTCATATTTGTTTCTTTTAGTGTAACACATACGGCATGTCGTTAATTAACGTTACGTTATTTATGTACTATGTATTTACAATCACATGAATCGTAGATATTCTAACGTATAGTTCGTCTCGTTTGACTGATCTCCTTTCCTTTTCTCCATTCACGATTTCATTATTTTCTTCTTGTCACCACTCACCTTAACCGGTCTCAGTTTCACTTTCTCCATAATTATTACCCCTGCATACCGCGTACAGCCCTTAGTTTTACAACCTCGTCGTTTCTACCCTCTCGTTGATCGTTTCTTTTGTTATCATTTGACGCCGCTCTTTACCGAGCTGAAACTTGTTCAATATTTTAACATTGTTGTGCAACGTATTCGCGCGCGTACACAAATATACATATACATATATATATATATATCTGTTCGTTTATACATATATAATATAAAAAACAGTATTTTCTAATACGTGCGAGAGAAAAAGAAATATGAGGAGCGCCACAGACGAATCGAACGTCAGGAACGGATTAGGTTCGAATCGATTGCAATCATCTGTCGTTTCTTAAATAAATTTGTGCTGCTCTTTCAGTAGATCGTAGATACACAAAATCAAACTTTTTTAACGTATTTGGAGAATAACATAAAATATATGCTTTTAAGACTTAGAAAATATAATAATGTGCAATTTACTTAAAATATCTTTTATATGGTCGAGTTTCATATAATCGCACAAGTATTTATTATCATAATGGTCAATATTCATGAAAGACGACACAGTTTATTGTATTTTTTAATTAACTACGTCAATCGACAATGGTTTACTTTTTTCATGGACTCATGAAGTTCGAATTTATTAAAATGACGTTCCTGATGTTAGCGAACTTCTTTGTTAAATCGTCTGCAGATTATTTAATAGTAAATACTAGTTTCATGCTTTTTATATGACCCGTTCCGTTAGAAGGCATGATACGCATGCATGGACATGTAACATGTTTTTTTTTTTAAATTGGCTCGTGTTTATACTCAATGCGTTTTAATTACCAAAATCGAACACTATGGATCGTCTCGAGCAATCGGTACGTTTTTTTTATATGTCCTTTATATATTTTATAACGAATGCGATTATTAACAGACAGAAATTAATCACGTAGAACGTATTTGGAAGTAGAATACGTTTGAATAATACATGTACATGTATAGGCAGTGACATTGTATATATGGCAGAATTGATTAATTTTAGATGACGAAGTTGCAGTTATCTTAACGCGAGTTTAGATTTGAGATCGTACAAAAATATACAGGAACTGTAATAAAATGGTATACGCGATAATAGTCAATCTCGTTGTACGATATATAAATATGATTTTGTGACAAAAATGATCTTCACCTCTTTCAATAATAAACTAGTAATATTATACATATAAAGTTATAGTAAAGTTGGTAATATTAAAATCTTTTAAATCAAACAATAGAACTTGTTTGATCCTCAATCTTTATATATTTTAATCAAATTAAATCTTCCAATACTTCTTAACACCTTAAAAAACAAATAAACTAATCTGGCTATGATTTAATAATCTCACACTCCAACTCTTATCCCCTTGCGATATTCTTATTCAATCCTGGTTGTTATTTGGCAGTCATGATATACCTTGAAAAATTCATATATCAACTTCATTTTTTATAAAGTTTTTAATTGCTCGCCGTGGCACGTAGCTAAGACAAGAGATTAGGGAAAGAGACGAGAAAACCATTCGTTATTTATTTACGCATACGTATGTACCTGATGCCGTTGGATCATTTCGACAGATCGTCTAACATAGGCGATCGTCGAGATGTATCCTATTTTTCGAGACAATCCCGAGTGAACGCGACAGAGGTGGGCAAATATTCGAATAACGAATAAACACAGTGAATAAAAACCTCGACGCAAAACAATTGTTTGTTACCCACGAAGTTATTCAGATCACACTCGTTTGTATAATTCTTCGTTTAAATAATATTGAAGCTGTATTTGTACGAGGTTTTATTCGTTGCCCGACTCTGACAGCAGAGGTAGACGGTCGAGTATAGACACATTTCGCTAATCGCCATCCTAGTCGAGAATATAATTAATCACATATTTTTCAAAAATCTCATCGAACAAGTTTCAATTCTATTGAGCAGCGCGGACGAAATTCTGCCGGTATTATACGGTTACCATTTCATACAGCTATCTCTTATTTATTTGAGTTATCTGTGAGGCGTGTAAAGAAAACATTTTACATAATATTGCACTTAATAATTTATATAATTTACTACTTATCGTTTTTGTGAAAATGTGCTTCATATGGTTTTAATTTCTTTTATATTTTGGTTTGTTTGGAATTAAGAGAAGAATTTAAAATAACTTACATGTATTCAAATTTCTCGTTAAAGTGTTCTTTTTGTCAGATTTCCTTAATTTTTGTTATGTAAAATATTAGAAAATTTGATACATTTAGATGCAATTGATCAGCATATATATATACATTGTAAAATAAACAAACGCTACATAATTGAAATAAATACAGAAGAATATGTAAATATTACTTTTACATTGCATATAAGTACCTCACAGATACGACTCACCATGCACATTAATATCGCAACCACTAAAGGGTTAAAGTACCCTCGATCCACTCCCGAGTCCGTTCTCTTCAGAGTGTCACGCGCACGTCATCGAGTTAATCTCGATGCGAAAGAAACCACGAAACCTTCCCGATGTCCTCGACAGAATCTCGCGATCGATCACGAAGTCTTCGCAACTTGGTTTGGCTTCCCGCGAGAAAGACACGAAGATCGCGAAACACTCGGCAGCAACAATGAACAACGAATAAAAAAGGTGGGGAGAACTCGTCTCGAGGCTTCGTCTCGGTTCCCCATGCTTGGACAGTAATGTACCGATTGTTCACGTGACTCTTTTTCCCGATTGCGTTTCCAAGTTATGTACAGTGATAGAATTGTGATGTTTTCGCTGTTTGCGGAATGATTTAGAATAATGGAATCGCATCATGAGGGTACAAAAGATTCTATATCGCGAACGTTCGAGATACGCTCCGGGAGATTCTGTGTATAACTCCTACAAAAAGGATTTCGTCACGTTTCGATTTTTAAGGAGAGGAAGAGTGTGCGCGAGCTTCGCATCATTTATTCTTCTTAACGATTGAGCTCGAATTTGCACGTTCAAGTTGCTTTAGGAATAGAGTCGATTCGATCAAATTCTTAGCAAATTATGCAATCTAAGCGAAATGTCTGACTGTTCAGATTGCTTTCGATTTTAGTGATTGAACAGTGTCGTTGAAACAAATTGAACCGCGCACATTCGTTTAAGCGTTCTTATTTGCGCGAAGAACTTGTGCTCTCTTTAAGATTAATTAGCCCCTAATGATTAACGATCGGATCGCACACTCTTGCATCCTATCCCCTTCTTATTCTCGAATTTTCCCCATGTACGGAGAAAATTCCATTCCCGAGGCGGTTCCGTCGTGATCGAATCGTTCAAAAAGCGGACCCGATCCTTCGTTGTGAAGCTTTCATCCCCCTTCGTGTAGGTTTGCGGTTGACCCAGAATACTCGTTCGGGAAGTAATCAACTAGGAATCGCGTAAAATCGTATTTATACAAAATGAACGAGAACAAGATCCAACTCGTGTAGCGATCGATCGAAAATTTCAACACTTCTTCCGCGTTCTTCGAAAATAAAACGATACACGGTAACTCATTGACGGGACAGCGTCATCCAATTCGTCTCAATTTCTCTCCTCGCGGTTCTTCGATCATTACCCTTTCCCTCACTCTTCCCATCGCGTCGTACGAGCCACGAAACCTTTTCAAAGAAGCCATCCACGTGCGCATTCTCCTCTCGTCTTCCTCGAGGTATCTTCCGGGTCTTGTAGAGCAGGAGATAATCGATCATCTTCCGACATGGTCCTCTGCCCGGTTTCTGATTATCGTTCCGGCGCGAAGTAAGATGGATTCTTCGAATAAAGGACCATCAGGATCAAAAGGACGAGAATGAACAGTCGGCTGCCGTGACTCGAATAGAGAGTCACGACGCCCGCCAGCCACCAAAGCGTCGGACATCCACCCGCTGCCGAGCTGATCCCTCTCTGAATCGCGGCAGGATGCTCGCCTGTGACAGAAAATCGATGCTTATTACCAGGACCCCGTGTCACGCTATATCCGTATCTCGGTTCAATTAACACTTTATTTTTTTCAACGCTTAGTACATAAAAACACCAGTCATTTTGTTTTTAGTTTTAAAGCAATTTTTTAGTAGTGAGATTTTTAATTATTTCAGAACGATTGACGTTTTAATTTGATATTTACTCGTGGACTGTTGTCAATTGAAAGATATTTTTAAAACGAATTTAAAAGTTGCAGTACAGTTTGTACCTCTGCACTTTAACACAGTTTAGGAAATGCTATTAGCAATTTAGTGGAATGTCCAATTAAATCCCCTATTTCTGTCATCAGATGAAACCAAGGAATTATCTTTTGATCCAAATTGAACGCAAAGTTAAATTATTAGTGAGTTAACTATAGTTCGTACTACTCGAAGTGCCATTTGTGTTTGCTAATAATTAGATGAGTATATTTAGTTCGACCACGTATTCCATATTACCACCAAAAGGGAGTCTGCGAAGTTAGCTCCACCAAATTAACACCTTTTAAAAGTAACGCACAAAGAAGTTTACGCTAAAAGTTTCACATTTTCCGTGATTAACGTGAAGTTAAAGGGAATTACTTATTTTTGTTGCGGAAATTGATTAAAAGTTGTTTCCAGTTAGCGGTACACGAAAACGCTTACCGTTTAACACGTGAAGCTGCACGCTAGCGCTATCTAAGCTGCTTGGGCTGCAGGTGTAATTGCCCGAGTCTTCCATCCTTGCTTTATGGATCACCAGATTGCTGACCGTGTTGTCTTCAATCCTCTTTGTCTGAATGTCAATCTTGTTCAATTGATAGTCCAGGATCCGATCACCCTCGTGATACCAGAAAACATAGAACGGACCTTCCACCGACTGCTTGATCACGCATCGTATCGCCACTGTGCTTCCGGTTTTCACGTACATGTCGCGATCACCCATGATCTCGATCTTTGGCACTGGGGAATCAAAATTCAATTTATCTATAGCTTTTAATAACAGTACACAATCGGACGAAGTAGATATTTTAATACGCACATCAATCGTTGAATTGATTTATACAATAATGAGAGATACAAAGAAATAGTGACCCTTTTTCGTGTTAGGTACATTTTCAAATTACGTTCTATTATCATGAATGACCCAATGTGAGCACAGACCGTGTTAAGAATGTGACACGATAAGGTGATCGATGAACAAGGAGAATTAATTGTTGAATATACTGAAGCGAATTACTCGGGCGGACACTTTCCACCGCTTAGACTTAAGCATATATGTACTGTAAAAGAGTAGATGTCTGTATTGTACGCTCGTATAATTTTTTTATCGCATCGTTGGAACACAGTTCGCGCAGTATTTCCGACGATCGATGACGAAGCTGTCCTCACTTTGGTAACGTAAAAATAACGTGATAGGGATGGTGAATAATTGATTCTTAAATAAATATCGATGTAAGAGAAAGAAAAGAATAAATTTCGTAGATAGTAATCATCTGGAATATCAAATTAGCCAGAAGATTTATAGATTAAATCAGCAAGTAAACGTCTTCGGGTATGTTTTAAACAAACGGCATTTTTCATAAAAGTAAAATTTTCATATAAGAAATAAGTTCTTCTTATCAATTATTTTAAGTGAAAATGATGTTAATCTGATCTGAAGGTAATTCTTACCGACGATGTTCAGCTTGATGATGTGACTCTTCTTCGGGTCGGTCGAGATTTGGCACTCGTACTCGCCTTCGTCGCGTGCCTGCACGTATTTCACTTGTAGCGTCCATGTATCCGACGCGTTCACGAATAGCGCCTGGAACCTTTCGTCTGGGATGAACATGGTTCTATCTACCGAGAGGATATGCGAGTCCCTTCTTCTGATCCACGACACCTTCACGTTTCCAAAAGAAAAAAGAAATTAACACCTAGACGGCACTAAACTTATTACTACAGTCATATTTGGTACATGTATTACATGTAAAAAACATTACATTAATTACATTCATATGTTAATAATAAAGATTTCGGAATGCTAATATTATAAACTTTCATAAGAACTTAGCACACATCACTAATTATAAATTCTTATTTGTATACGTACACAGACACGAAATATGCAATACCAATCTTATTGTGAAATATGAGGATTATGCGTTTCAACTCTACTGATCTCAAGCACAAATTAAGTGCTCCTTAAGTGCAAATTAAATGCAATAAGATCTTATACATATAAATATCTGCACAATATTCAAAAGCGATGAATTTTGTGATATTATAAGAAGACGATAATGTTATTTGAATTACTTCCGTTATACGTAGGTTTGCTATGAAGCCTCCGTATACGTACACTGTTTCAACACAGGTGTGACTATAAACTTGCGAAGCGTTCTTCGCAAAACTTTCACAGGAGGGTGTTTAAAACTTGTTCATAACTGGAACAGGAAGAGCTTCCTGTGGCCATGTTTCCTATCATCTTTTTACACCGTTAAAGGTGACTCCCGAGCATCACTCGAAGAGTTCACTCACCTATTTTATACAGAAACGTGTTTTTATATAGTTATATGAAACTAAACACCTTAGTCTTAATTAACTATTAATCCCAACACCTATTCCTTATACCTGTATGTAAGGAAATCTGGATTCTTTTGTTTCCACAGAATATTAATAAACACAGTATATTTCCTTTCTCTCTATTCCTTGTTATTTCGTCGAGGAAGCAAACAACTAGAGCCGAGAAATATGCGAAACGAGTTAATATTTACTAGCGTTTGAAGCAGAATTCAGTAACTGAGAACAGAGGCGTTATACAATTTTTCCTCATCAGATCCGAACGTGGAGAGAGAAATGGAGAGAGAGTAGATGGTAAAGAGGAAAAAAGCGTTGCAATCCGACGTTCTCCAGGTTCTATGCATCGCACGAATTATTAATCCCTTCTCCGATAGGTATTGCGCGCTTCATATTGTCAGATTTTTCGTTCGCGGGGACGTTTCTTCCAGCGTCGCCGATGCACGGCGGTCTACAAAAAGTGAAATAAAGCAACAGAGACGTTACTGGTGACGAAGTGAAATTCAACCATGTCCGACGCTGGCAAATCCTCCCGTCGTGCCACAACGCGTCGAGCCGAGCCGAGCTGAATACTCGGTGGCGACGAGGAAAAACGCTGCGAACGTGAATGGAAAAAGAACCTCTGGCACGACTTTCCGATCTTCGCTCGATCAATCTTCTTTCCCTTGTCTACGGTTAATTTATAGCGGATCGATCGGTTTTGCGAGCGTTCCTCTTTCGTGGTATGCAGGCTCCTCCAGGAAAATACGTTAAGTGAATTCACATTATCGTTCATGAACACCTTCTATTATAAGTATCACTAAACAGCATACATAGATGGGGAATGTAATTTACGCCAAGAGGTCGTATATGAAATAATATAAAACTGAAAATTCGCGTTTATACCCACCATTGTTAAACAGAATTAATCGATGTTCGAAAAAAATGTTGCAACAGTGAAACTTCTTCAAATATGTATATTATTTTTTTTCATGAATTTATGACAATGTATAAATTTATTATATTGTAATTCATTGCGATAAATAGCAATTTGGTTCAAGTAAACGTCTTCGGGTATGTTTTAAACAAACGGCATTTTTCATAAAAGTAAAATTTTCATATAAGAAATAAGTTCTTCTTATCAATTATTTTAAGTGAAAATGATGTTAATCTGATCTGAAGGTAATTCTTACCGACGATGTTCAGCTTGATGATGTGACTCTTCTTCGGGTCGGTCGAGATTTGGCACTCGTACTCGCCTTCGTCGCGTGCCTGCACGTATTTCACTTGTAGCGTCCATGTATCCGACGCGTTCACGAATAGCGCCTGGAACCTTTCGTCTGGGATGAACATGGTTCTATCTACCGAGAGGATATGCGAGTCCCTTCTTCTGATCCACGACACCTTCACGTTTCCAAAAGAAAAAAGAAATTAACACCTAGACGGCACTAAACTTATTACTACAGTCATATTTGGTACATGTATTACATGTAAAAAACATTACATTAATTACATTCATATGTTAATAATAAAGATTTCGGAATGCTAATATTATAAACTTTCATAAGAACTTAGCACACATCACTAATTATAAATTCTTATTTGTATACGTACACAGACACGAAATATGCAATACCAATCTTATTGTGAAATATGAGGATTATGCGTTTCAACTCTACTGATCTCAAGCACAAATTAAGTGCTCCTTAAGTGCAAATTAAATGCAATAAGATCTTATACATATAAATATCTGCACAATATTCAAAAGCGATGAATTTTGTGATATTATAAGAAGACGATAATGTTATTTGAATTACTTCCGTTATACGTAGGTTTGCTATGAAGCCTCCGTATACGTACACTGTTTCAACACAGGTGTGACTATAAACTTGCGAAGCGTTCTTCGCAAAACTTTCACAGGAGGGTGTTTAAAACTTGTTCATAACTGGAACAGGAAGAGCTTCCTGTGGCCATGTTTCCTATCATCTTTTTACACCGTTAAAGGTGACTCCCGAGCATCACTCGAAGAGTTCACTCACCTATTTTATACAGAAACGTGTTTTTATATAGTTATATGAAACTAAACACCTTAGTCTTAATTAACTATTAATCCCAACACCTATTCCTTATACCTGTATGTAAGGAAATCTGGATTCTTTTGTTTCCACAGAATATTAATAAACACAGTATATTTCCTTTCTCTCTATTCCTTGTTATTTCGTCGAGGAAGCAAACAACTAGAGCCGAGAAATATGCGAAACGAGTTAATATTTACTAGCGTTTGAAGCAGAATTCAGTAACTGAGAACAGAGGCGTTATACAATTTTTCCTCATCAGATCCGAACGTGGAGAGAGAAATGGAGAGAGAGTAGATGGTAAAGAGGAAAAAAGCGTTGCAATCCGACGTTCTCCAGGTTCTATGCATCGCACGAATTATTAATCCCTTCTCCGATAGGTATTGCGCGCTTCATATTGTCAGATTTTTCGTTCGCGGGGACGTTTCTTCCAGCGTCGCCGATGCACGGCGGTCTACAAAAAGTGAAATAAAGCAACAGAGACGTTACTGGTGACGAAGTGAAATTCAACCATGTCCGACGCTGGCAAATCCTCCCGTCGTGCCACAACGCGTCGAGCCGAGCCGAGCTGAATACTCGGTGGCGACGAGGAAAAACGCTGCGAACGTGAATGGAAAAAGAACCTCTGGCACGACTTTCCGATCTTCGCTCGATCAATCTTCTTTCCCTTGTCTACGGTTAATTTATAGCGGATCGATCGGTTTTGCGAGCGTTCCTCTTTCGTGGTATGCAGGCTCCTCCAGGAAAATACGTTAAGTGAATTCACATTATCGTTCATGAACACCTTCTATTATAAGTATCACTAAACAGCATACATAGATGGGGAATGTAATTTACGCCAAGAGGTCGTATATGAAATAATATAAAACTGAAAATTCGCGTTTATACCCACCATTGTTAAACAGAATTAATCGATGTTCGAAAAAAATGTTGCAACAGTGAAACTTCTTCAAATATGTATATTATTTTTTTTCATGAATTTATGACAATGTATAAATTTATTATATTGTAATTCATTGCGATAAATAGCAATTTGGTAATTAATATTTTAATAAAAGATTGTATTCATTCACTATATTCAATCCTGTTTGTAAAAAATTCATCATCGTTTTAGTCACGTCAAATCGCACAATATTCTTTTCAGAAAAATCCTCGAATTCACTATTAAATCAAAATCGCAGATCGTGAACAATTTACTGCACACTATTTCCAGTAATGCGAGATTTCAAATCTCGATGCAATGGTGAACTCCCAGCACCTGATCAGCGGTTGTAATCAACGAAGTAGAGTAATCGCTTCCTTGTTCGAGACGCACGATTTAATGGAAAAGAGGTAGGGGTGGGAGTGAGGGTAGTCGTAATACGCGCGAATAATTTGTGAATGCAAGTCGGTTGCATCGACGGGCTATAAACTAGCGAGCGTAATCTCTTCCATGATTTCTGAAACGCAATTATTATCTAGGGAACTTTAAACTGGAGGATATACGTATATTACAGAGAAGAGCAGCGTTCAGCCTGAAACTGCAAGGATACAGGACCATCTTCCTCTTCCTCTCTCGCTTTTGTTCAATTACGATTGCCATACCATTAATTCTCGAAGAAAATGTAATAAATCGGCGAAGCCCAGTTTCTCGTTTTGTGTTACCGTGTTACCCTCCCATCGATCGCCTTCCCAGTTTCATTTGCAATCTTTTTTTCTTGACTTTTAATTCTGCCAATTCCGAGGAAGGATTTAATTACACTCGCGTGATATCCTTATTCCGTGAATCATTTACTGACCGATTCCACGAACGAGAAACGATTTGATTCTTTCTTTAATGTAAGACGATGTATGCATAATATACATATATATGTATATATATGTAATATATAAATGTATATTAAATATATAAAATGTTTCAGAAATATTTATCAAAGAATAGTAGTACAATAGATAATATATAAATATCAGAGACTGACGGAAAGTATGTAGACTGCAGAATATATTGGGTTTTATTTTCCTTTACAAAAGTAAGGGATCAAGGTTTTAAAGAATTTCAGTAAAATTTCAAGTAAGAAATTGTTGAAGTTTAAATGAGAAGGCAAGGTTACATAGTTCGTACGCTACGCGATACAAAATTTCGTACTGGAAACTTTGGAGGAATCCCATAGAAAACGGTTGGTCTGCGTCGTAAAATTTAAATTTGGGAACTTTGTTATAGAATCTAGAACGAAGTCAGATATAGCAATATGCATTAGACAAAGGAATTCCTTTCGTCTCTTACTTTCTCTTATTTTACTAGAATATAACTTTGAATTTTGCAAATAAATTTCAACTGTTTCATTTAATAAAAGATAGAAAAATAATTTTAATTTGAAGAATACAATATAAGACCAAACCTTAAGAAAAGAAGTAGAAAATTAATTATGAAAAATAACTATATAAGATAAGTTAATTTGCAGCAATGGAAGAACCTGTATATATGTTATTTGCATTTCTCAGGATAAAACGTACAAATGGGAATGCGCCATCACGTGTTGAGTTCACCGTGTCGCCCACAAAGAGTAATCGCTAACAATCGTGTCCCGGGATAGCTGAGCACAATGATCGTTGACAGAAAGTTAGTAGTAAGTATAGGGTTAATTCTTAGCGCGATAAATATCGGAAGAATGGTTCATGAGCCGAGTTTATAAGCTCGCAATCCTTAAACTGTAAAGCATAGCACACACTGAGAACAAAATTGTCATCAATAATTTTTCGAGTAACATTTAAGATCACAATTGGCATATAAGATAAGCGAAATCAAATACTCATTTTTCTCAAATTAGTTATGTGCTCGTCGAATAACATCATATCAGTTGAGAATATAATTAATTTTATTGTACGTTATTAATGCAATTTAAAAGCTCTTCCTTATAGCGTGCAGTGTGCTTATGTATTAGAAGGTCATTACAGAAGGCTCCTGTCGCGTGCCGCCACACAATTAGTCCTAGCTTTTTCTGACCTGTACTAAACCGTACACACCATACACGCGGTGGTAAAAGTTCGTTAATGAGTGATACGAGCCCGTGTACGAAAACTTTTACCACCTTATTTCCACCCGGCTTTTCGAAAAGGCAATGGAACCTTTAGAACCAATCACCAGTCACCGTTATCTGGGTTACTTCTATGCCTGGCCATTTCTCTACCTCTAACTCCTTCCTCTCCCTCCTACACTTCCCCCTTTCGTGAATCGTAAAATTCACGCGGACTCGTATAATCCGTTCGAACGGCCGCGAACGCGAACAGATTAGACTTTTATGGTTCGCATAAATCCTTCGCGGATAGATAGATAGATAGATAGAAAGAGCGTCGCGCCGTGCCAGCAGAGTAGGTGCAACGTGTATCAGGATCGACGGTTTATCGCGAGTCGTTTCGACTATTGTAATAGCGCAGAACGAACGCTGGTAGTTGCTTGGAATATCGTCGGAAACGGAGCTCCGATGGTGTAACCTTTTGATGGCGGATCACCAGGTTCGTTCGTGGAAAACCACGACCAACTGTTCTGATATCATCGACGACAAACACCGCCTTGCAGAAAACTAGGAATTTGCGTGCATGTAAATCCGTTTTATCTGCGCGGCTGACAGCGCGCGGCGCGACGCTGGCACCCGGTCGCACTTTTGCTGTGAGCTGACGCCGAGATAACGAACGGTTCACGAAGTTCCCCGGTGTTTCGGTAACCGATATAATTTTTAATGAATATTAATCGATTATGAATACTATACTGCTCGAAATTTCCATAAAACCACCATCGTTTTTATAAATATTTCAAAAGTAATTCCAACGAAATATGAATGTTTTTAAGTGGTCTCATTCATCTCGAAAATCTGTGGGAGATAGTCGTGAGAAGAGTTTATAGAAATTTTAAGCAATTCAGTTATAGATGGACAGTTTGTGAAGGATAGACATACATCGATGAAGAAACATTTCAACCTCGATTTTTATGAATGCCGAATCAAAATTTTTCAAATTGTTCAAACAAATGATAATTGCACAGACTCCTTATTCAGAAATAATAAAGAGGCTGTTGTTAATTTCTAATTCATTTATTTTAAAAGATATGACATTTAAGAAATTTCGCGTTTTCCTTTGTCTCATATTACGTTTCTTCAGATCTCTTCACATGATTATGATATTATGATCACATGATTATGATATGAACATGATATTCTATTATTGCTAAACTAATTTTCTTGAAGAAATGAACAATTTTTCATAACATCGAATTTGGCTAAGCGATTTTGACTTTATTGATTATAATGTAGAAGCTATTATATTTACCTCAATATTAACTTATTGAATCATGAAACGTAAAAATAATTTATATTACTGTTATTCATTGTTATTAATGCATAGTCAGCGAGAGCTAGTAATATCGAGGTGTTAAATGTTGTTACCTAATTCCTGTTTGGTACGCCCTGGAGATGTTTTGAACAACTTTGACAGATTTGTGGGTAATCTTAAGAGGCCTTATAAGATGGAAGTTACGTAAATGTTTAAAGTTTTAATTGGTAATGTTTCACGAGAAGGTGTGTGTACTCCTGGGAATAGTTTGGAGTAGGCGAGAAGACTCACCGATTTATTACCAAGCTGTCGCACTTTGCACGGCAAGTAGGCATGACTTCCCAGCTCAGCTGTGATGTTCGTGGGGGTGTTTGAATCGAAATACGGCCCCGTGTAGATCCCGTCGAACCTTTTCACCAACGAATGGGATCTTGTGCTTACTCCTGAAAGAATTGATCCGTACTTTAGGTTTAAGAACATTGTGGAAGCATCGTTGAAAAAAATGAACGCTTAGCGAAGGCTTCGTTTAAAAGTACATGTATAATCGCATATGAAGTTCACGTCTCATGTTCTATGAATCCACAAGAAGATGACATTTTTCAGTAAAAATTTCGTCGCAATTCTAATCATGATACATTATCGGACACATTAAATTGTTAGCAAGTCAATAATGTGAAATGGAGACTTCTTTTGAAAGAATTTCGTGTAAAAGGTAGGCCCTCTTAAGGGGTTAATCGAGCTCGAACGTTGACTATGCCTGAAGAGAATACATTAACATATCAGTCCAACCGCGTGAGCTTGTTATCCCCGGCGAATTTACATTGTACGAACACCGACCGGTAGCGCTTTCATGATGGAATAATAAAAGGATCGCGGGAGTACAGTGTATTTCGTATTCGTGACATCCATGCAGGATGCCTTCTCCTATTCTCTGTCTTCTAGTTCTCTGTTACTCTCCTTTTACCTTTGCCTTTCAAACTAAATCCTATCAGAGAGCTTCTGCCAAGCCATCGTGCCTCCGGGAAATGGATACTAATCCAGCGGATTCTGATTCGAGGGATCGGATCAGCATTCGACTCAGAGAGGAATCTACTCGACTTTTTTCCACCGACCTTGAAGGCCCCGTTTCCGATTTGACAGTCGAGGAACTGTGGAGGGAAACTGCGTTCCCGTTTATGTGTCCTGTTTCTTGGTGTACGATAGCGTGCACGCTTCAATACGTTTATAACATTTTTCTCCTACTGCATTTTCTACAAATTTTATGTCGGAGGATTTCGCCGGAAATTATCCGTCTTCAGATAAGCGCGTTTCAGAAATAATCATTGAAAGCGTTGCTGCACACAGTAGAAAATCTTTGTGAATTAACGAGTACTGGTACATAAGTAGCATTTACGCTACGTATTTCCTTAACTTTGCGGTTCAAATTCCGACAACCAGGACTTCATATTTCTCCTTTTTACATCGATTACAATTTGATTATGCAGAAAGAAATAAATAAAAAGGAAGTGTCTTCTAAAACGAACTTTAGCCAAATTTTTCACTATCTCATTTCATTTACCACTTTCTACACTGTGTAACGGAACTTTTAATGCATGTATTCTTCAAAATTTACATCACCGCGATATCCGCTAGAGGATAACTCTCACTACATTTTCGAACTAATAATTACGACCATAGCCAGAATTTCGTTTAGGCTTAGTATATTTTTCCAATAAAATTACACAATCAGCGACTGCTAGAATTACGTTCTGAACGTTTTACGCTATTACGAATAATGAAATACAAAATGTTTTATGAATCGGTTACAGTAACATATAAACTGCTATAAAAAATATATTATGCTGTACAACATGTTTTGTTACGTGTACAGCTGCAGCTTAGCAATATAGATATTAAAATTAATCTAAATCAAAAGTAAAGGGCTCAACTAATCACGTAAACCAGGAAAACATTTTACGTAGGATTTGAAACGAGAGAAACAATTGGAAACGAAGCGGGACTCGGATACGGTTCTTTCATTTGCCGGGCGACCGCTCTATTGATTGAATTATTCAGGTCATCAACAACTTCTTCCTCTCGGACTGTCGTTTGAAAATAGCTACCGTTTTGAATATTATTTCTGACTTTTTACTGTGTCAGCTTCTTGATGTGTCATCTAATAATGAAATTCACTTGACCACTTGTATTTGCTTCTTTTTTAATTCTCATAAATGAATTAACTTCGCTCCATCAAAAGAATTGATTTGCTTCTTTATTTGGAATCCCGATCTTTACTTGGAATGTCTAAAGAAAATGAACTGCCCTGCATTTTGTAAAGCCTTTTGTATGATGGATAACGAACGTAGATGCAAATGACACGGTATTTAAGGTTTATAGAGCAAAGTAATAAAGGTGCTGTAGCTGCATTAATTGGTTAGTTAACGATACAACGTAACGATTTAGTTTTCGGACAGCATAGCAACAGCAATGGTTCCTCCGAGCGCGCATTTTCCTCTTAAGGAGTAATGCCAGTCATTACCGCAGTGCAAACAAAAAGTACCGTGCTCGTTCGCGATTGACGTCATTGCAGCAAACGTGTTAAGGGAATATAAGGAGAACGCATTAACGACGTTGCTGTATTATTCAACATATTTTAACCGAGCCGAATGAAGGAACGGTAAAAAGAAAGTGATACGTATCGTGTTCGTGGCTCCTACTCCTACCTCGTAGCATTGCGGTCGAAGTAGAATAGGAACATGCTGCACCGGCTAACAAAACAATCGATGTTCATACCAGTCATGTGTACTCTTTGTACCAATTAGTAAACAAATAAGTAAACAAATTCTATGGAAAATATTATCGTAATAAGAGAATCACTCCAGTGCAAATAATAAAATACCCGATAATTGTATTCAAGCTGTATTCATCCAATCTCTCGTTTAGTTTTTCTTGTATCACGCAAGTAACGGTCATAAATCTTGGATTAATCCAATCGCGTTACAGAATGGGATTAGTCGATCGGGTGACGATGCACGATTAACGAAATTCCTTGAATCGGAGAAAATCCTGCGATATTATCCAAGCGATTGTAAACGACACACAATGCAACGCTGTGCGTGCCGCGTCGGCAAAAATCGAGCATCTGCATTGGCAAATAACACGTCCGGTCAAATAAATCCACACGTCCTTTCGATAATGCCACGGTATTCATAACATTTAGAGTACATGGATTATTGCGTTTATTGGCATCGGCTCGATTCTTCGGGGGATAAACGCTCGAACGGCGCACCCAGTCTGATTCAGCTTTCACTGGTTACATCGAAATCTCCGGCGATATCCGCAACTGTCCGTTGCAATTCTGTTCCCCGTCGTTTTGCCGTCGCGAATACTTAGTTTGTTCCGTTACGGAAACGCTCGTTCGAGTAACACGCTTCCGGTTTTTAGCGAAATGGTACGACGGGGAATCGCGATCATTGATTTATTTAGCGTAACTCCTGTTTATACGCTCAAGTATTCACAGTCACATTTATTGTAACCGAGAGGAAGATCCAGAGATGTTTGAATGATGTAACGTAAGTGTCCTAGTGATCGGACTTTTATTTTGTTATTAAGATTTTTTATAATTTAAAATAATATAAACTAAAGTAAATGTTCAATTAAGTGTTAGATCGTGTCTTCCTTCAGAAAGAATACTATAAAATATTATTTACATAAGAAAGAAGTGTTCACTTGATCGAGTGAATGGACAGAATTTACGGCTTATCCTAGTCATTAAATTTAGCCCGCCCTGAGTTTTGACGTTAAATTAAATCAAATTATATTTATGAGGAATTTAAATGGGAATAAAAATAATTGGTAAAAGAAATTAACGCTTTAAATTTTGTATAATTTAAAAGAAATGTCAAAACAAGTAACGTAAAATATTTATTTGCTCGTCATTATTTTGTTTAACAGAGCAGAGGCTTTATTTCTTAGAGACACTGCGGACATATCTACACTTATTGCAACCTGTAGATCGTGCATAGAAGCGTCCTAGTGCATACCGCGATGACAACAAACTTGTGATTCGAAGTACTGTTTGAGTAGGTGTAGATACGAGGTGTCTGGCGGTCTATTCACCGCCACGTGGTGGGCGGTCGGGTTAGACATGAGGTTTGAATAGATGATGTAGTATTAGGAATGTGTTACATTTCAACATCAAGCTCATCAGAGCTGGGTTTGCTAACTAGGATTTTGACCCAAGTTTTTCGTAAATACCTCGGAAATTGACAAGAATAAGCGAATGGTTTTCAGAATGATGACCTTAACAATATACCTATTTCAATTTTATTGAAATCGGAGGTGAGGGTCGTTTTGTAAAAAATTATCGAAACAATTGTCCGTACTTACAATTAGTAATACGTAGTACTGTTAGTTTCGACAGTGTATTACATATATGTATGTATGTATGTATATGGAACAAAATTGCAATTTTCAATTCTCAACTGTACAAACAATTACAATTGTATAATCAACAGCACAAGTGGTAACGAGCTGAAACTTGTACAGAATATCACGAAGTCGCATGGAGCTTTTTCTTATGCAAAGCTGAAAGTTTTACAGTTGTTACATTCTTATCAGATATGGCATAAGTGTCAGTACGTGTATCAGCACGTTTTTCGTGACTCTAACCTCGCGGTCTGAATAATTCCGCGAGTGTTCCGTGGTGATTATCGTTCTCAGCATTCCTGGAAATCGTGTTTCGTTCGAGGATCACCGGTAAAGAACAAAGGAGAGGCGGGGATGGAAAGGTAGCGGAGGGATGGGGAACAAAGCGGCCGATTCTGTATGGCGGCCGGTGGAACCCGCTGCTTATGACCGTTTGCAAATTTCCACAGAGATTGAATCGTTCACGGAAACAAACAGGGGGTCCGGTCGAAGTTGTGCACTCGCGAATCACAAAGCGAATTGTTACAGGGAGTTGTGTAATTGTATTGCTGTGTGTATCTTTGTGTTACACGTTATGTTGGCCAAAAGGAAGAACGTTAACACGGAATCAAGAATTTATACGTATACACGTACGCGAGGCCATTGCTATTTAAGTGCCGTTAGCGAGTGGAATGTATGGAGAATCACTGAAATCGCGATAACACGGTTGCTCGTGATCACAGTTATTAGAAGGTTAAACGTTGACGGAGCGACGTCTGCATTATTACGTAGTCAATGTAACGAAATGGTTTCAGAGATCAGAGAATGCATCACGGTGTACTGTGTCAACACGCGGAGATTAGGTTATTCTATGAACCCAGCTTGTGCCATGCATGCGAAAACCGGATTGTTTTGACAGAAACGATGACCGGAGTTGCGCAAGATTTAAATGCTCCGTCGAAATTGAAATAGGCCAATTATACGTTGATTTCAAGTAATTACGATTCTATGGTACCACAATTCAACCTTTATGTTATTGAAATATGCTTAACGCGTTCTGCGAGCGTTAACCTGATGATTACCGTTAAAACGATTACGTACGCGTCACCTGAGCGCAAAGGATTCACAATACGTTGGTAGATTAACTGCACATAATCGTGTACACATCAATACAGAACTGGAGATTTTTTACTGCACGTTGCTTTCGGAGAAAATTGCGTTTAAGGACATATTGCGTTAAGGATAATACGAATTTATGACTGAAAAAAATTACAAACATTATCAAGATTAGCAAACCAGAGCAATATTTTTATGAAATACATAAATCGATGTTTTTGACAGTTGCACTATCGGTCGAAATCGTCCATGTATAAAAGAAAATGAAAAGAGGAAATGCGTCAGATGAAATAAATTCGTTGGAAACGGATAAAGGAACTCCTGATGGATATTTCCCCGAGGACGAAGGTTCTCGGTAGCGGAAAATCGAGCATCGACGGGGGTTGCGTTTCCCCCTCGCCGCTTTATTAGGACGACACGTAGCACACCAACGTCGAAACCGAGCGATAGTTCGTTGTAATTTTACGACATAATCGTACACTAAACTTAGACACAAATCTGAATTCTCGGTTGCCCCCAAAGATCGTTCTTACCAAACAAGCCCTTTTCTCGATGCGATGCGACGCGAAGCGGCGGGGCTAACTCAATTTTCTGTCTTACCAGTTCATCAAACATTTACGTTCGACTACTTCCATCGCATCGCACGCGCATATTTTACGCTGATGCACCGCTGCCGATTTAAACGGTTATCGTTTGACTCTCACGCTTTAATTCAGCGCTATTAAAGGGATAATTGTTTAAACTCAGAAGGAAGACCCAGAAACCCATAACCTTTGCAACGGCGACGTTTAATTCGTTTCGATTTGAATCAATGACTTCTGCTACATTTAACGCACTTCTCCCCCGAGACAATTGAGAATCAGCAATGCGAGGATATCCTGTTATGTGCCTCAAATGTCTCAAACAAATCGAATTCTTTCAGTTTGTAATAGAAACATTCGAGTTTAATATTAAACAATTAGTTCGCATTGCATATTTTTATCACAGAATCTATCAGGTCAACAAAGCGTTGCTCTTATCAGTTTTTACGAGCCACTTTCAGTATATCAAATATTTTAAGTAATAAATCCTCTAGAGATAAATTTAGGTCGTCGAAACTTAGTTTAAATTAATCGGAGCTTAATGAAAATATAGTTAAAATTTTGCTGTCGGCAATGCTCCATTGTTCAAGTTAATTGGAGCTTGATGAAACTGACCCTGTACATATATTTATCCATTATTGTAAAGCCTGGCTCGTTATTAACACTTCTTGAAAAATAAACAGCACCCAAGAAATTGAACTAATCGTATAATCTAATAGTGGAAAGTATCTGCAGTCGAAGATGTCTGGTAAAGGACTCTAAAAGTTCAGAAATTCGAGTAAAAACAATTTACGATCACAGTGTGCCGAAATTCGTATTTCGGGTTAACTATACTACATCCGGTTAATCAGCGCGAGGTATAATTGACGGTTGTCCCGCGATTATGTTACCTGGCGTGGAAAGTACATAATGCATCGAATCGATCCGTAGAAATTGTTTTCGTGTTGCGGATTAAAGTATATCAACATACGTGTACAGTCGTTGGTCGGGGTTGGCGCGTTTATAGTCGAAACCAATTAAGAGTGTGTTCCGGGAGGTTGGGTAGGTACTGTAGGTAGGCAGGTAGGAAGGTGGCGCGTGGCCCAGAATTCGGTAAATTGTTTAACAAAATTACCAACTGCACCGTTAGTTGCGTTAATGGGATCGATTTGTGCTCTATTACGCACGGAAGTTGTACGAGTGTCGTTTAACTCGCGGTTTGGCAGCCTTTCGCGTGTGTTTCAACGGTTCCACGTTTCTCGTTCCGACTCTCTCAGAGCTTTCTCGTTCAATAACACACCGCGTCGCCCCGAAACCGATGAATTGAACGTATTTATAAAGCTGTACGGACCCAACCGGGACGCGGATAATGAACGACGCGATCGACAAGTTGATGCCCACTTTGCAAACTGTAACGTTTCCTTACTACCTACACGCGCGATCGATATGAGGAAAAAAGGCTCCGTGACATGCTTGATGAATTTCTCCTGGGTTCGTTTCACTCTTTTACCACTATTCGATGATCCTGAGGAAGTATTCTCATTAATTCTGCTTCACGAATACATAACTAACAATCACATCCTTGTACAGGACAAGTGACTTTATGACGGTGACCAAATCCATAAAAGTCAATTATTGATAGAACTATTGATTTGTCACGCCATAGTCTTTTAAACTCGTGTTATATGGGCATAAATAAAAATACTATTTTTCATTGCTGTATTCGTTGTTCTCGGAATGGAATTGTGTGGAATACGGTTGACAGAATCAGTGAACGATGTACGAGTCGAGAGTCCTTCAGCACGAAGCAAAAGTTATTGCCGGACTGGGGTTGGTAGCTCGGTATGGGAGGTAGATAGTATCCTGGAAGATCATTACGATAAAACATGCCAAGGGGGATGTGAATTATTGTGGCTCCCATTGAAAAAGTGACGCGAACAAAGAAGAGACACAATTAACGCGATCACAGTGTGGGTACACGTAGAAAACGAGGATGTTTCACTAAGGTTACATAAGAGATCGTCGTCGGTGTCAGTGGTACATCGTTGCGAAGACGCGGGGTAATTGCTCGGATATCGCGGCGTGACCTGTTTAAGAGGCGGACCATTAACTATATTCTTTTGATAGCGGCAAGGCACCGTAAACGGGGAGGGAAGCCAATAAAAGTGAATAGCGCGAGAGTCGTTTTAACTGATATAATTAAGTTTAAACTTCGCCATTCCGTCGCCGAGTCAGGCTATTAAATTGAAACTGGAGAACGCAGATACGAAGGATAAATCTCGCAACTAGTGTACAAACTTCGTTTGGACACCCTCTTTAACGACGATGATGTTGCGCGTCGTCGAGGAGAGCGGCGGGAATATTCCCTTGAAAGATTATATGAAAAAAATACCCCGTGGTATCGTCGCGATACAACCATGCGAGAGATGAAATCGATAGACACGTCCCTGAACGACGTCAAAGCGAAGATGAGGGAACACGCCAACCCTCTTCCCTCTGCCTTCACCTTTTCCTCGATGACGGAATCATCGAGTCGACACGGTGACCCGAGGAGGATGGCGAGAAAGAAAAAGAGAACGCAGAGACCCGAGGGATAAAGGTGGAGAAGAACAGGGAAAATACAATACCGCCGCGGCGCGACAAACAAGGGTGGCGCTAGATACAGCCCTGGACCGGGTCCGGAGGCAACCCCCTAACTCCCGCCTAACCCCTGAATCCTCCTCCGTCTATCTGTCTCTTTCCCACTCATTCTCTCCCTCCTTCCATCCCTATATCCTCGATCGTCTCTCTAGATCGATCGCGAGTGCACAAAGTCGATCAGCCATGCGAATTTCAGAAACGGGCATCCTCGTGGATTTGCACGCGTGCTAATTCACGTACACGCACAGTTACACCCCAAAATCTGATCGATCCATCCGCAGTACAAGTCTCCTGTACGACCCCGCCTGCTCCTCTTACCCCTTACACGTTTTCGCGTCCTCTTACCCCCTCCCATTCTCCCTCGTATCCCCTCTATCCATTTACAGCCCCTAAGCAATCGGCAGTCCAGACCTGGACCTAGGACACACGAGGTGTTCACGAGTACCAAAAAACTGCGTTCTCATGATTGCAACCAACCAGCACGGATACCACACCATCTTCCGCGGGGAATGTCGAAGAATCGACGCGGAATCCGCGTAGATCTCGAACGGAACATATGTGGACGGATCGGAGAGAGATCGATCTTACCGGTGATTCTGAGCAGAATCCAGCACACGAGGCACAAGACGTAGTAATTCACGTAGGAAGACCTCCTCATGGTGACGACGACGAAAACGACGACGCGATCGCCTTCGGCGGGTCCACTGACATCTCAAAACAGACCAGATCCCTCGGTGCACCCTCCCTCCCTCTCTCTCACTTCCTAGCCTTCTGTCGTCACTCTGTTCATCCTCTTCTTCTCGGCACCAGACGCTACCAGACCTCGTGCATAGTAACTTGACACACTATCCCGATGACTTTTTCTTCTTTTTCCTTATTGCGCACAGAATGCTTTTATCACGGTTTATCCGACTTCGCACTGATCACATATTATCTTCCAATGAACCGTTTACGCACCGACGATACGACGTTGTATTCGCGACGTCTTGTTCAACGTGTTTCTCCACGTTTATCCGTAATTTAGATCGTAACTAGAAACACGCGGGTCGACGAAATGTTACCAAAAAGAATACAGGGGGGGTCTCGACGCGTGGACTCTGACCCTCTTTTTCCCCGTTGCGATCTTCTGAAAGCTACGGCTAACTAACGACCGAGTTTTGCGTACGGTCGTCTGCGGTTCGTCGTCCCGGGCGAAGCTCTGAAACCGCCGGGCCTCCAGTGGCACTGCCCGCGCCCGCCCGGGGATTCCGCGCAGGCGTGGTCTTTTCTCCTCCACTCTGACGATCACTCTCAGCCTCCTCCTTCCTCCAGGCATCCAGCCTCTCGCTCCGTCCTCCTTCATTTTTAACCCTTTCTCCTTCTCGATCTTCTTCCTCGATTACTACTACTACCGTCTACTACCTACCACTACCACTATCATCAACCTTCCGTTGTCGTCTTCGTCGTCGTCATTGCTGCTGCTACTGCTGCTGTTGCTCACAATATTACCATCACCGGCGACGACGTGGTTGCTACTGCTGTTTCTGCTGTTGGCTTCGACATCTTCCGCACTTTCGTGCTCTTCTTCCTCGTTTTCCTCAACAAATTTCAACGCAGTGTACATTAACCTTCAGCGATCCCGGCCCAAACCCCGGGTCTACGCGAGGCTGCTCGGAAATAGCAAACTACCCAGGGATCTTTTTGTTGGTCTTCTTAGCACCGGGGGAGGATTTGTAAATTTGCGGTTCCGCCGATTGACCGGGGAGTAGCGGTTTCGTTAGACCAGTGGCTTTTCCAGTTCTAAACGAATTCCGGCCGATCGGAACTGACGGTGGTCTTTTTTAATCAGCTTTAACTGACCTCCGATGTTTGCGATACTTAATTCAACAAACTGACTGCTATTCCTGAAGGTTCTTTTCTGTATCGTTGTTCTAAACTCAATCAAAATCAGAATATGAAATATAACCAGAATATTCTCTCTTTAGCGTTCCATTATTATCTTTTAATTTTAAATACGTGAATATATTTGTGATACTTTCTCATTATTTTAATGTGCATTCTGTGTACTTCGTACAGGAAAATATTCTTTAATGTAAGTTTAAAATCGAGATCCCGTTAGAACTTTCATTTCTTCGAAAATATCGGCCGGGCCTAGGCAAGTAGATCGTTTGTTTCGTTTTTGTCTCCTCGGCTGAAGATTATCTGGTAGACGTTCCCCACGGAAAGCGTAATGAATCCTTCTTAGGATTCTTTCAACCTATTTTTCGCCCGCAGCCGCGACTGTCGCGTCCCACCTTTCTTCTTCTGTTCTTCTATCCTTGGTCTCCCCGTAATTACCATTAGTTTCGCCCCTGTTATCTCTACCCACCGCGCTGTTTTCGGGTCGCTTACGATTATTGCATTTTTCTCTGCCCCCGGTTCCGGTTGCGTTGTCTCGCGTTCGCGTTCATTCTTTTCCCAACCATTCACGAATTTTTTACGGCGCGGCGCGGCGTGGCGTTAATCTTATTCAAAGGGGATAACCAGATCGGGCAAACGGTATATACCGGTAGATACCTTGCCAACGGAATTAATTGATCTTCATCGGTTAGAACCCCATGAGAGGAAGAGAGAAAGGCACATACATTTAAGTCGATCGTGATTAATGGCAGAATCTTCCGGACTGAAGCATCGAGGATTCCGAATTAATTTCGCAGTAATAAAAGTCGGGCTTCGATCCCTATCCTGTTGCCTCCAATTACGCGCGGCCGCTCATACGATTCGTCTTTCTTTCTTCATGCCTGTCTTGGTTCTTGATCCTATCCTTATTCCCTCGCCGTATAGTCTATACCGAATTCAGTTTCACTGAAAGCTTTTCCTCGAGAATGAACGCAGCCCGATCGCTCATTCTCATCGTCGGTCGAAAGATTTATTCGTACCACCGGCCTAATTGTGACAAACATTACTTCAATTTTCAGCAATTTGAACGTTTTTCTATGTAGTAGTGGTGTAAGCTTTCTCTCTTTCCGAGTAAGCTCTTCGACTTTCTTTTTTGTCGCGGACAAATTGTGTGTCCTTTACGGCGTTAACCTTATTCTCTGGAGACCGAACTGGTATGGGCTCATATTTCCTCGTAAAAGAAGTACTTCCTTCTCTTTTTTTCCTTCCTCTCTCTCTCGTCCTCTCTCTTTTTCTCTGTCTATCACTCTCGTAGTTTTGCCCTTCGCTCGACGAAGCATATATTTTAAAATGTCCTACGTAAGGGAATGCCGACGTGTATTCCCGCAGGAATGAAATATCGTACCGGTGTATTACATTCCGGTACGTTACGTTCATGGGAAAACAGCAGGACGCGTTAATTGTTGAGTTGACGCGATGGCTTCATTTTCAATTTCGTGTGTATCGGAACAACGAAAATCCCGCTTCTTTCCCTCCCTGTATTCTTGCCCAACGGTTACTCTATTCGCGATTTGAAGCTGACGCAGGAATAAAAAATAATGCATAAATTTAAAGACCCTAGAGCATCACTGTGAACGAGAGGAATATTTCCTGTGAAAAATAAAAGTGTATTCTTATAATAAATACGTAGTCTCTGTAGTTCACGGAGAATCTACTCTCATTTGAAGTAGCAATCGAAAATCAGGGAGTGCCAAGGATTTTCGGTTTGCATAGCAACTTGCATGATTGCCAAATATTTTATACAGGCACATATTATTTGTAAAGCTTGAACGTCTGTCTCTTGTTTTTATAAGAAATGGCTTTTACCAGGCTAAGGAGAATATTCATTCCATATTAGCTAATCGTTCATAAGTTACAGTGTTATTTATTGTACATTATTCTGTTTTATGTCGGGCTGCTTGATTAATTCGAACTGTGTGCCGTTCGATGAAAGAATTTCGTTTTCTAACCAAGATAAACACCGGGCTTTTTGTACATCGATTTTGTACATCATTTTAAGCTGCCGTGCAAACGTTACAGGCGTTGGGGCTGATGTTAATCCCTCTGACAAGAACGTGGGTCCCATTAGGGCCGGCGAAAAAAGTGAACCGGCCAACCCCGTTCCTTTAAACTTTCTTTCTCACTTTCATTGTCGTCGTACGGACACCCCCGCTTCCTCACACGCTCTTTTATCACTCTTTCCTTTTTTTCCTGTTCGTGTTCCTCTTGCCCTTTTAAGCAATCCAGAATCTTTTGTAGGTCCGGCTGAAATTTTTACACTCCTTTCATCTCCCATCGCCGCCTCTGTGCTAGCGCCATAATTATTCGCAGAAAAAGACACTCGCTGGGCATTCTCTCCTCCTCTCCAACGTTTATTCTTATCACCCGCATAGCTGATTAACTCTTCTCACTTTCCGGGACGTGCCGCGACAATTCGCACGTTTAAATAACTATACATGTACGTACAATGTGTCTCCTGACCTACCATTCTGAATACACTACGGTCTGCGCGTAATATTTTTGACGTCAGTGCTACTGCCAACGAGTTCTTGATCAAAAGCGATAGAACAAAGAAAATTTTTTAAAACTCCATTACGAAGTAAAATTAAATAATTAGGGTTTTACTTAGAAATTATTCCTCGTAAGTGTACATTTTTTAGTTAACATCTATAACGTACCGAAGTTCTTAAGGACAAGGTTGTTGATTAACCGGGAATCAAAGTTATGCGCGAACAACGTGACGGAAGCCGATAGCTCACACGAAATTAATGGTAATTCGGAAAATCACACGTTTCTATATTTTAGGCACGGTAGAGGCGAGTTTTCAGTGTGTCGGTGAGTTCCTTACATCGAGCAGCGACACGCGACGATCGAATCTGTGAGTTCGAAGTAAAGCAAGTTCATGATTTAAACCAGGTACGTACATGTTTGAAATATTCAGTTATTTAGTAAAATTATTAAGAATCTTATTATGAAAATTAATAACCATTCAGGTACGTTTTCTAATAAAGTTCAAATATAGTACGTTAAATTCCTTCCCGTTCAGTTCATCAAAATTGATTAAACTGGAACGCACCTATGAAAATTTACCGTTTCGTCGCGAAAACGTAGAAGCTGATCAAAAAGTGCTTTATTGAAAAACGTGGGACACGTGCCAATGCTTTTTGCAGCCGCCGTAAATCAACAGTTCTGCTTAACACGATGACGAACCGGGAACATTTCCTAAAAAAAGTAGATTCGAAATCAGCTCCTACCGTCCGCCGTATTCCGCACGACGTACTAGGTATTATACGTCCTACATAGTCTTCCTTCTTTTCCAGCATCGAGGAAAGCGTACCCTCCTCGTCGACATTAACTTTCCAGATACGGAGGCAACCGTTCGATCAGAATTCGTAATTTTGAATAATCGACGACGGAGAGGCAAGGCGGTCGGGGTGGTCCTGCTCTGTTCGCCGGGAAATTTAGAGCGGGTGTCCCGAATATGTAAGCTCTCTCCGGGCCGTTTCCTTCGACGCGGTGCGCCGCGCGGCACGATGCGATGGCAGGCATGGCATAGCGGCAGCCCGTGCCCGCTCGAGATTAACCTTCATCGTCGGAAGTAAGTTTTCGAATCTCGGTTAAGTTTCCGACGTCGAGGAATTTGCATGGTGCGGTAGACTGGCATTTGGTAAATTACAGAACTTTTCTTCTCCCGACGACGGATTTCGCAGCTCCTATCTCTGTCCGTCCCGTCTGTCGCGTCAGTATCCGACGTCACCTCTCCCCTCGCTTGTTCTTTTCCCCCTTTATCGATCTTCTTCTCTCTTTTCTTCAGGCGCGAACCGTGCCACGTCCCCAAGACTTATCTGGCGTCGTTCTTTTAATTTTCCAGCCGTTTGTTTCACTTTCTTCTACACCGCTCCCTTCTTTGATCCATTTTCCCTTATATCCTTCGCTCTCTTTTTCTACCGTATCCCTTCCTTCCTCTCTGTCTCTTGCGGGCCGTGTTAAAAGAGAAATGCGTTAAGACATTCGGTGAGAAGACCGTAATACTGTCTAAGAGAAGGAAGAAATGTTTGACCAACATGTGTGTGTGCATACGCGTATGTGAAACGGTGTGGCGGTTCTTCCAGTCAAGGTAATGTAAGCGCCTTTTTCTCCATTTGTGGTAACAGCAAACGGTCTGAATAAATACATACATAAAAGACTGTGACACCTTTTTTCCCACTGTTATGCGGTTTTTTGTGCATCGATTTATTTATTTGCACAGTATCCTGTATTCAGCGTATAAATGCCTTCAAACCATCTAGCTATTTACATCGAGTTTCAATGTACACT